ACTGGTTTTGATGACTGGCCTAAGTGAGCAGTTGTGTCAGATTGTGAATGTTTTGAATAAAGGGAACGTCTGTAGGGAGGGGCCAGCAGAATGCAGATGACCACAACTTCCTGGGCAGGTTTGGCACTGAGCTTTGAAATGCTGCCAGGTTCTAGAAGGGTCAATGAGCTCTTTCCTCCAGTTGCCAGAGCCTCAGTTACCTGGACAGGGAGTGGACCTTACCCCACCTGGAGAGAGGCGAGTCATGGTTGCTCAGGCAGCTGACCAGGAGCTCAGCTCCTAGGAGGGAGGTAGTGATGGCCACAAGACTCAGGAAAGCCAGCTTCTAGGAACAATTCAGTGGGAAGCTAGCTTTTTGTAATGGCCTGGAGGGTTGTGTTTACACACACACACATACACACACACAGTCACTATATGGCATGAACGAGTGACTGAGTAAGAAAGCGATTGAACGAACTCAGCGTTCTCTTTCCTGAGGAGATGATCCTTAAATACCCTGCAGAAAGGGAACAGGAATACCAGACAGGGTTTGAGCACAAGGATCATGACACTTGCTCAGGTTGCTGGAGTTCGTACTTTTCCACTGGTGCAGAAAAACAGGCACTGCCAAAGAATGTCCTTGGAATTGCTTGATGTATTTTCCCTTCTGTTATTTAAATCACATGTATTTAATGTAAGCAATTCTGCAGTGAGCTGGAATGTGTGAGTAGTCTCCCAGCTCCTTGCAGGAACCCACAGCATGGACATTTCCAGCTTCAGCTCCACCAGGTGTATATGTGGACAGTGGTTTAAAAGTCCACACTCCAAAATGGTCCTTGTCAGCACATTGGCTAAGCAAAGCCCCTGGAGGCTGAAATGTAAGCATATCTGTTCATTGCTCATTCATTCACGCACCAAATATGTATCGAACCTTTATCAGGGCTTGACATGGTACCAGGTGTGCTTTGAGGATGCAAAAGTGGGACATGCCCCCCATACTTCAGGACTTACTGAACCCTGAATATGTCCGTTGTCCCGGTAGCCAATGAAACGACTCAGTGTAAGCTCAGATTTTAATTTTGCAAATGTCCATCAGTAGAAGTAGGGTGTAAAGGGGGTTCATTTCTTAACTCAGTAAAGGTGGTGGTGGTGGTTTTGAAAAATGAAAGGAAAAGGCTGGTTTTTAGTCTGAATATTTCACACACCCTTTCTTTTTTGCACACGCATACACATTTTGAGTAAGTGTTTGGTCTCCCTCTGTAGGCCTTTGTGTGTGACAGAAGTTACACAAACACAGAGACATGGGAACTAGCTAGGGCCAAGGCTTGCCAACAGTTCCCTTCCCCCCTCTGCTCCCCCTCCCCCTCCATTCCCCTCAAGGCAGGAAAACAGAGTGCAGATTCCTAAGGCGCTGTTGTTCCCAGGGTACAATTGGCATCCATCACTCCCCACCGGAACAATGTAAATATGCACTGACCGATAGTGGCAGTATTTATTATCACAGGCTTCCTATGGGTTTGAGCAGGAGTGGCAGCTGACCAAGCATGCTCCGACGGCTCCCCAGGGCTGTGGGTGGAAGGGAGGCAAAGGGCAGAAGCAGGAGAGGTTCTGCATCAGGGAACCGGGCTGGGTCTGGGCCACCAAGGCTGCATGTGGCCAACTGGGTGACAGGGTGGAGCAGAGCCTGCAACCACCTCTGAACCCAGGCTCTTGGTGGTTGTGCATGTCTAGAGGATGCCCAGTCACCTGGTTATTTTGGATAGGGTGGAGGGGCCTTGGAGACGAGGGAACTACTGTGGTATCACATGAGCCCAAGAGTCTAGCAGAAATCAGTTGCCAGTAGATTCACACTCATGGTGACAATGTGCGGACTCCGTAGGGTTTTCAGTGACTGATTTTACTAATGTAGATTGCCAGACCTTTCTTCTGTAGTGTGTCTGGGTGGACTCAAACCTCCTACATTTTGGTTAGCAGCTGAATACATCATTTTCAGCACTCAGGGACCCTGGCTGAAGACTTATTTGGTCATAAGGAGCTCTGGTAGCGTAGTGGTTACGAATTGGGCTGTGAACCTTAAGGTCAGCAGTTCAAAACTACCAGCTGTTCCGTGGGAGAAAGATGAGGCGTTCTGCTCCTGTAAAGATTTATAGCCTCGGAAACCCTGTATAGGCTCGCTGTGAGTCGGTTCCTACTCCACGGCACATAACCACCACCACCACCACTGGCTGCCTGAGGCCACAGCCCGCAAACCCCTGTGCTCCATTAGACTCTTGTTGTCCAGGAGCTGCTTCTTCTGGACTGGAGGCACTCACACCCCTCCAGCCTACACATCCAAAGCAGTCACTGACAGGATGGGATGGTGGTAAAGACTATGAGGTAGGTAGAACGTGGTCCTCTCTCTTGTGCCTGGTCTGTCAGCTCTCCTGATCCCTGTTTAGTTCCGGGCATCGTGACCTCTGTCGTCCTGCACAGAGTGTACATGGCTGCAGGCAGGGCTGCCCAAGCTTAGTCCTTGGCTTGGAGCATCTTAGCTCATTCGTTCAGTTTCCCCTTTTGTCAGATAGGAGGAGTCAGGAACCAACTTAACAGGATGATGGTAAGGATAAATGTGGTAGCATATTGCATACACTGGGGTGTCTTTGAGGGCAGCAGGGAGGAGGTAGGGGTGAGGGAGCTCCCACTACAGTAATGAAAGAGTAATGAAGGCAGGCTGGGGAGGGGACCTTCGTGGAGTGCTCACTGAGTGAATGAATGAAGGGCTGTCTGGTGGAAAGTCTTTTCCTTGAGGTCAAAGTAAGAGGAGGTCACGCTAGATGGCAAGAGGTGGTCATTCTAGTGGATCCAGGGTTGTTGTTTGGTGCCATTGAGTCGATTCCAACTCTTAGCAATTCTCTGCACAGTGTAACAGAACACTGCCTGGTCCCACACCACCATCCTCACAATCATCCTCACCTTTGACCCCATTGTTGCTGCCACTGTATCAGTCAATCTTATTGGGAGCGGTCTAGCTCTTTTTCACTGACCCTCCACTTTACCAAACATGATGCCCTGCTCCAGGGACTGAGACATGTCCTGATAACATGTCCAAAGTATGAGAGACAAAGTCTGGCCATCTTGGTTTCTGGTTGTTCTTCTTTCAACACAGGTTTGTTTGTTCTTCTGGCAGTCCATGATACTTTGAATATTCTTTTCCAACACCATAATTTGGATGCATCAATTATTCAACAGTTTTCCTTATTCATTGTCCAACTTTTACATGCATATGAGGTACCTGAAATAACCATGGCTTGGGTCAGGCTTACCTTAGTCCTCTAACGGGCATCTTTGCTCTTGAACACTTTAAAGAGGTCTTGTGTAGCAGATTTGCCTAATGCAGTACATCGGTTGATTTCTTGACTGCTGCTTCCATGATTGTTAATTGTGGATCCAAGCAAAATGAAGTCTTTGACAACTTTAATCTTTTCTTCCTTTGTCATGATGCTATTTATTGGTCCAGTGGTAAAGATCTTTGTTTTCTTTACATTGAAGTGCAATCCACACTAAGACTGTGATCTTTGATCTTCATCAGTAAATATTTTAAGTTCTCTTAGCTTCCAGCAAGCAAGGTTATATTACAGGCTGTTACTGAGTCTTCCCCCAATCCTGATGCCATGTTCCTCTTCATATAATCCAACTTCTTGGATTAAATTTGCTCAGTATACAGATTGAAGAAATGTGGTGAAAGTATACAACCCTGGTACACACCTTTTCTGATTTTTAAACCAATCAGTATCCCCTTGTTCTGTTTGAATGACTGCCTCTTGGTCTGTGTACTAGTTCCTCATGAGCACATTTAAATGCTTTGGAACATCCATTCTTCACACTGTTGGCCATAGTCTATCATGGTCTACCCAGTCAAAAGCCTTTGTATAGCCATGGATGCACTGCAGAGAGAAAGGAAGAAGAATTTGTTTCAACTTTAGTCTTTCAAGACTGAATTATTTTCTACTTTGCATTTTTTGTTGAAATAAGCACTGGACCAGAAAGTTAGTTTGGACCGCAAGGTCGCCAGTTCAAACCCACCAGTCGCTCCTTGAAATCTCTATACAGGCTCACTATGAGTCGAAACTGACTTAACAGCATTTAAGATTAATAACAACAACATGTATTTTCAGTACTAGAAGGAATTGGAAATGAAATGAACCCCCACCCCCTACTCCTTTTTGAGGTAGTAAAGATCCTGATACAACTAGTAGGACAGATATGTCCCAAGAGGCTGGTGGTGCTCTGGGATTGGTGGGATGAGGTCCGTGTCTTCAGATTCACACAGTTATAAAAGCCACAGCAAATGGAGGTAGCCATTAGAAGTGGGACAGCAGCTTTCCACTAAATCCCAGAGGTGGAAAATGTAGGTGGGCACTATATGTCCCATGGGTCACTAAAGGGTTTCACAGTTTTGATCATTGTTCATGTATGGTGTGTCAGGTGCCTTAGGCGTTGTGGCCACAGATATAGCTTGAATCTATTCATGGAAGCTTTCAGTTAAAACAGATAGAACAACTTGTACACAAGAACCATCACAGACCACCAGACAGACCATGATGGGTTCTCCACAGCAGAAGGAGACCCTGTGTGAGCCAGGGCATAGGGAGATGAACACAGGGGCTCCACAGAGCTTCCTGAAGGGGCAGCAGCTGGAAGATTCTCATGGATGAGACAATCAAGTGACTAGACTTCGATTGGCAAGGAACATTTCTTGTGATTCTGTTAGTTGTCCGTGATATTCATCCTAATCCTGAGCACACAGTAGGTACACACTAGACCTTTATTTAACACATGAATGAGGTCTAATCCAAACGATAGTTGTAACCAAGGTGACCTACTGTCCTCTGTGGGTTTCTGGTAAACAGGGGAGCTCCGCCCCTCGACTTATGTCAACATCTCCTAGTGGCCCCAGTTGGTGAGGTATTCCCTTCCCCTTGGTGGTCCCGGCGTTCTCGGTGGAAGTATGTGACATTCTTTGGAATATCTCTGTGTTTCAGATGTGGACGAGTGTGCGACAGATTCCCACCAGTGCAACCCGACCCAGATCTGCATCAACACAGAAGGAGGGTACACCTGCTCTTGCACCGATGGCTATTGGCTCCTGGAAGGACAATGCTTAGGTATCAGCTTCCAGGGGGTCCCGGGAGTTCTCAGGAGTTAACATAGAGGCTACAGCTCCATCACAACATCACTGTATGTTTTTAAGGACTCATGTATGGCTTGACCTAGTCATCTCCTTCCTTCAGGAGGTTTACATCTAAGGCAGGAATTGATCGAGGGTGAGGGTGATTCTGTCCTAGTTAGAAGTCATTCTTACCGAAATGGCCCAAGTCTCAGATGTGGATCGGTGGATTGATTTAGATCCAATGTCACCTCCTCCCGGTACCCAACTATAACTGGCACCCTCACCCACTCTGCTAGCTGTGGTCTTTCTGTTTGCCCCTAAGGGACTCTGCCTTCACCAATTGAGACATTGTCCCTCGCCACTGGCATCTGCTATACAATCATTTGGTTTATTTTTACTGGAGGTTTCTTTTCCGTCCTTCCCCTCTGGTTTTTGTTTTAGCCAAGTGAATGAATTCCTAGCCATCTTGAGTTGTCACTTCAATTTCTATTTCTAGAGTGTGAGTTCTATGCTGTGTTTTCTTGGGAAAGCCCTGCCAGTTTCAATTCCCTAAGACACTATTCTGTTGTCTGAAAGTCAGTCCTGGAGAAGCTGAGAAACAGATCCAAACCAAATCATGGAAACAAAACAAAAAAGGATTCTTCTTTCCAAGTCTCTCTTGATTGAGGCTGAGTTTGGGTCTGCCCTCAGAGCCCTGTCCAAAGCATCCTGGGGCCTAATAAACTGGATTAGTCTTGTCTGGGCTTTCCTTTCCAGGCGTGCACTGCAGGGCTGCGCGCACGTGGGCGTTTGTGACTATGATGGTCGCTTCTAACCAAGCTCTGCTATCATGGAAAATTTGATGCCACTCATTTGAACATACACAGTCAGTACAAGTGAGTTGTCTGTATGGGAACTTCATATGTAGAATTTCAGAACTGGATGGGTGTTAGATGCGATCTCATCCAACTTTCAGAGAGTTGGGAACCAAGACTCAAAGAGGTGGAACTTTTCGAAAAGACGGACGGTCACATGAGTTATTCTAAAATCTGTCTTTTTTCTCAGTCCCACTTTTTTTTTTCCCCCACCACAAGGGACGCCAGAGAAGATCACATAAGAAGGATGCATTGTTGTTGTTGTTAAGTGCCATCAAGTTGGTACTGACTCATAGTGACTCTGTATGGCGTTTCTGAGGAGTGGCTGGTGAGCTTGAACTGCCAACCTTGTGGTTCAAAGCGACCTTGCAGTCCAGCGCATTAACCCACAGCACCACACCAGCACTCCAAGAAGGATATGTAGACTGACCCAGGTTTGATTCCCATCCAATGCACCTCATGTTTCTAGACTATAATGCTACCCAGCTTGTCCTACGCTCACTCCGCTCTTGATAGGTGGAAATGTTTACTGTTCATGGAGCTGGTGAAGAACTTGTTGGATGCTATGCTATGGACTCCTCTTCTACTTTAAGCTAACTTGTCCCCTCATAGGGCAGTGAAAAGTTCAAAAACAGATGTTAGAATGGATAAAATCTCAGATGTCACCTCACCCAACATCCTACTCCAAGCAGAAATTTCTTCAACAACTTTCAAGATAGCTTCAGGTGCTCATGGGACTGAGGTGGGTTGGAAGGTAGAGGATTGTAGGGAGACTGAGTCTCAGAGAATCCAGAGAACACCCCTGTACTTCACATTTAGTAGGCATTGGTTCCCCTTCTTGTCTGTCCATGACCCTGTGTAGGAAGAGGCTGGTAATCACCAGGCTGGTTGGTGTTGGCATCAGTAACTGAGGAGACTTGTCTTGCCTTGCTGTGTTTCTGCTTCCAGACATTGATGAGTGTCGCTATGGGTACTGCCAGCAGCTGTGTGCGAATGTTCCTGGATCCTACTCCTGTACATGCAACCCTGGTTTTACCCTCAACGAGGATGGAAGGTCTTGCCAAGGTATGTGGCATGAGTGACAACCTGAATGTCATGTGACGTGCTTGATGCAATCTGCCTCAGAGCCTTGTCGCCGATATTGGTGGATCGTGCTGTGCAGAGAGAGCATTTCTGTCCTTTGCCTCTGTTCACATGGAAACATGAGACCAGACCTGAAGTTGAGAACCATCTCGAAAAGTGCTCTGAGTCTTGTTGAGATTAGAGCCACAATCCTCCCAAACTGTGAGCCTCTAATATCACACACTTGCTTCTCTTTCTGCCTCCACAGTAGCCTTGTTGGCTTTCTTGGCTAATCACAAAATTTCCCAGGTGTTGTGTAGTCCAGGTTCAAAGACGGAGGCCCAAAGGTGATTAGAAGGGGCCTCTGACCCTGGATTAATTGCAAAATAAGCACATACACTCCTCATAAGTGTTTCTTGGGCAATTCTGACGCCTCTCCTGCTAGTGTTATGCCCCGCATCTGTGCCAGCAGTGCGTGTTACTTAGCCAAGAGTCTGGTGGTGGCAAGGACTTCCCCTTCCACTCAGCAACCCCCCTGAAACAGAATCAAACAAAGACTTTTTCTGGTTTTCACATGATCACTTCACATACTGATAAGTAAAGAAAACAAATGATCCACGTCTATTGCGGTTTCCATCTGAAGGTTTCTTTTGCTCAGGAAATGAATAGGAACTTAAGATTCAAGGAATTAATGCACGTTCTGTCCCAGCCCCCAGCTCTCAGCCTTCAGTCCCTGGCAGCTACTCAGTCAGGGTGGGGGCAGTGCTGGACATGCAGAATGAGGTCTTTGTCTGGAGCCTGCCACCAGGTTTTGCAGGGCCCATTTCCTTGTCACACCATTAGAGGTCTGGACGCCAGGCTCCAGGCCAGCTTGTTGGAGGATGTTCTGTCTCCATCCATCTAATCGTATCGAAATCATAGGGTAAACAGGAAGGCATCAGTGTTAAAGAGCTTGATCCTGGATTCTTTGTAAGTCTCTCCCCCAAAGCTGGTTCGACAAATTGTTCCAAGAAGTCTTAACTGCGTTCCTCTTGCCAGGGGAGGTCATTTTCAGCTGAAGGCAGAGGCCAGGCTGAGAGGTTGGGAGAGTTTCCTACTCACGCAGATGGAGCCGGCCCCTGGCTCCTCTACTCTTGTGATAAGTCGCTGAGGATAGAGTGGGCTTCTTGGTGCCAGGGCACCCAACTCCTCCTGAGGAACAGCCATGCACAGCAGAGCCCAAAGGCCCAGGTGTTCTCCAGGTTGTCTCCGGGACAGGTCTGTGACAAGGCACAGATAATGCACTGGTAGTGCCAGGACCAGAAGCATGATAAGGTAGTGCCAGGGCCACCGCACATAGCTGCTGGGCTATTGCATCAGCAGAGCCGGTGGGCCAACTCAAGACCTTACCTCTTTCACTGAGCTTCTGTGGTCAGAGCTTTTCGTGCGTGGAAGAGTACTTGACACTTTTCCAAGGACCATCACAACTGCTCATCTCAGTGAAACCCAACAATTGTTATAGGAGGTAGGCAGGACAAGAGTTCATGGCCCCACTTCTCAGATGAAGAAATCAAGGTTCAACAAAGAGAATCAACTTGCAAAAGTCCCACAGCCAAGCTGGGCCAGAGTTCAGAGTAGAACCAAACATTCAGCCTTCCCCTCACCCCACAGGTCAGAACTACCTGCTCTCGCAGGACTCAGAAGGGCATTGGTCTGTGCGTGGATTCCAGAGTTGTCTTAGTGGTCTAGTGCTGCTACAACTGAACCGCCACAGGTGCATGGCTTCAATAAACAGAAATGTATACCCTCATAGGTTGTTGTTGTTGTCAGGTGCCATCAAGTCGGAACCGAATCATAGCGACCCCATGCACAGCAGAACGAAACAATGTCCGATCCTGGGCCAACCTCACTACCGCTGCCACACTTGAGTCCATCAATGATGCCACCTGGCTGATCCATCTCATTAGGGGTCTTCCTCTTTTTCTCTAACCCTCCACCCTACCCAGCATGACATCCTTCTCCAACGATTGTTTCCTCCGGACAATATGTCCGAAGTAGGAGAGACAAAGCTTAGCCATCCTGGCCTCCAAGGAGCACTCTGGCTACACTTCTTCCAAAACAGATCTATTGGTTCTTTTGGCAGTCCAGGGCACTTTCACCCTCATAGGTTAGGAGACAAGAAGTCTGAATTCAGAGCTCCAACTCTGGAGATAAGTCCTTGTCTCCATTCAGTATCTGTAGGCCCTGAATTAAACATGCCTTAGAGCTTCCGTGTGTTTTGGCATCCATCTTTTCTTGGATCTAAGGAGCTTCACAGCGCAGGGATCTCTCCACAGTCCAAAGGACATAGTCCACTCCTGGTTCTCCTTTCTTGGTGATAGTAGTTCCTCTGAGCTCTGCTTGCCTATTTAATCTCTTTTATATCTCAGAAGACATTGACTCAAGATACAACCTAATCCTGTAAATTGCATCTGGTTTCATCAACATCATAGAAGTGTAAGGGCTTACGACATATAGGCTGATGACATTAGATCAGTGCTGATCCCATAGTGGGGGAAAAGATTCCATTATGCTAGATCTCATTGTAGGAGATGACCACATCTTAACTGCTAAGCTGCCGAGAATCCCAACCCTGCCAAGTTGATGCAAAACCTTAACTCTCAGAGTGGCTGTCGGGAATGGCTTTCTGGAACCTCAGAGGACAGAAGCCTCTGGCCCCTCTGCTTTCCGGGAGCATCTGAGAGCTGGGAAAGGGCAAGACGTGAGTGCCTTTGTCTTAGCATGGCCAGCATCCAGTCAAAAGCTAGAACACCTGCCCTAGGTCTCACGACTGCTGTCCTGCCTGTACTTCCTCTCAGTGACTTGCCACAACTGAGGACATTTCCCGGGCCTCCTGGGTGGGGAGCCTCCACATTCCTGTGGGCTCAAGAGGAAACTGGTGTTTCACTGGACCTCCCTTAGAGGGCTGCCTGTTGTCTTTCTCTGAAAGAATCCGGGAGGCCAGGATGCAGGAGCTTTGTAGGCATTAGCTTTGTGGGACTGGCCCTCCCCTTTAAGAAGAGCCTCTCAGGTGGTTTCACTGCGAAAAGAAGAATCTCCACCCGGAACTACTCAGGTCTCCACTCAGAGGCTCAAGAGGCTTACTTGGATGTGTGAAGAGGCTAGACAAATCTCTCAGGTGGACCTTGGGTTATTGACATATAGCTGGTGATAAAGGCTCAAAATGAGTCCGTCCACAGGCTGGTCCAAGAGTCTAAAAAAGAAGGTTGGTAAAAGGGGGGAAATGCAGAACAGATTTTAAAATTCTCTTAGAATTCAGACTTTCTGGAGCTGTGGAGGCTGGATGAACCCCTGAAACTTTTCCCCTGAGATCATCTTTAAACCTTAAACCAGAAACACTTCCTAAAATCTTCTTGAAACCAAACAATAGTTCAGCTTAATTAGTAAAGACTGTCTTGAGCAGGTGTGGCGCTGTGGGTTAATGCACTGGATTGCAAAGTCGCTTTGAACTGTAAGGTTGGCAGTTCAAGCACACCAGTCTCTCCTTGGAAACCCTGACCAGGGTTGCTATGGGTCGGAATTGATTCAATGGCACTTCACAACAACAACAACAATAACAACAACAACATATGGTGTCAATGGACTCCAGCGCTGTAGGATCAGCACTAGGCTGTGAACCACAAGGTTGGCAGATCAAACCCACCAGCTGCTCCTTGGAAATCCTATACAGGGTTGCTATGAGTCTGAACCAACTCGACAGCACTTAATGACAACATATGGGGGTCAAAAGAAACCTTGGTAGTATTATGGGCTACATATTGGGCTACTAGCTGCAAAGTCAGCAGTTCAAATCCACCAGCTGCTCCATGGGGGAAAGATGAGGCTTTCTGTTCCCATAAAGATTTACAGCCTTGGAAACCATATACTGACTGGGTCGCTATGAGTCTGAATCGACTCCTTGCCATATGACGATCACCAACCATATGGGATCAAATTGACAAGAGCAACTTGAAAGAGCAGAGAGGAAAGTCAGACAGTGAATTCACTGTGATGCGTGAGCAAGAGTTCAGAAGAGGACTGTGAGAATGGCTACTTCACTCAAAGAATAGAATCAGTATCACTTAACAATACGTGTAGAAATTGTTGAGCTGGTATGTGTTCTGCTGCATCGATTCTCAGCAAGAACAAAAGTGAATTACTTCCCCCCACCAAATGAGTCAGTCAATGACAGTGTAGAAGGGACCCCTGACCTTTCCCAGGGATGATTCTAGAAAGACCCCTGACTTATATTCTATTTCTTACTGTGCTCTTGTTAGCTTGTGGACTAGGGCATATCTCTTAATTTAAAGACATTTAAAATACATTTACTGCTATAAAATCAGCTGCAGCGTTGTTGTGAAGTGCTATCAAGTCGGTTCTGACTCATAGCGACCCTGTCTAGGGTTCCAAAGGAGCACCTGGTGGGTTTGAACTGCCGAGCTTATGGTTCTCAGTCCAGTGCCATAGTTTCATGACTTTTGACATATGAATACATTCAAGGTAGTGAACATATGCATCACCCCAGAAAGCTCCTCCGTACCCCCTTGCAATCCTTCCCTTGACGTACTTGAGTCTCTTTCCTGGTCTGTAAGATGGGACGATGAGACAACCAATGATCAGTAAAGTCGTTTGTGCATGGTAGATGCAGGTACCTGATTCTTTAACATCAGTGAGGTGGGGGAAGAGCTAACTGATGCTGGAATGAGCAGGTATTGCTGGGGGATTCCTGTGGGTAAGCCTTGGGGAGGGGACATCCTACTAAGTGTCCACATACATACATGTACACATGCACCTATATGATATGTATGTATGTTGTTTCCCCTCTTCCAGACCTGCACCCCCAGGGGAACATATGCATGAGGCCCTGGTCCTTTAGCAAACACTTTAGGTCTGAGATTTCAGTATGAGAGGTCGTGATGGGGATCTTTCGTATGGGTGAATCTGGTGTTCTGGTGGAAAAAGTTTCGTTACCAGTGCGTTTTCCTGCCTACTTGTGGGAATGGTCAGTGATATACTTTGGCTTCCCACAGACGTGAACGAGTGTGCGACTGAGAACCCCTGCGTGCAGACCTGTGTCAACACCTACGGCTCTTTCATCTGCCGCTGTGACCCCGGCTATGAACTTGAGGACGATGGTGTTCGCTGCAGTGGTAATGGAATTTGGCATTGGAGACTCTCACCTGTATTTGGGACAGGGGGGTGGAGGACAAGGGCTTCCTTCACAGGTGTTTCCTCTCATCTCCTGGCTCCATCTCCAGTTTGGGACATTTCCTGGTGCAGTGGGGTTAGAGTCACTTCCTGGAGGCAGATGGTGCTCACCTCCTGTGGATACGTTTGGCCAATGTCATATGACTCCTAAGGCAAACACTAATGGAGCCACCTTCTAGGGCCAGAGTTGGAGATGAAGAGGAAGTGGAGTCACCTGGTTTTGTATGTTGGCCTGGGAGCAGGACAGATAGGAATAATAGCATAATAGTGTATCCCAGAGGTTAGGGCTTGGAGTGGTGGTTGAATGAGCTCATGTCTGTAAATCTCCAGCACACAGTGAGCATTATTAAATAGTTCCTGAATGAATGAATAAATGAATGTCAAATGAATGAAATCCTAACAATGTGTGAGAATATTGAACTGATGGCTTAGTTTACCTTTTATACATTTTTCCCAAACCCAACAAGCTCGGATTCTTTGCTCAGGTTACTATAATTTTCTTATTTACCCTGCTCTTTTGTTTTCTTCTAAAAAGTAAAAAAATAAAATAAAATTGACAAATAGATAACTAAGATTGTGACTGCCTTGAGAATAAGGACCACATCTTATATTTATCCCTGGCAGCATTCTGTACCACAATGTCCTGGGATGGCACAAATAATTTGTGCTCTGCTGCTAATCAAAAGGGTGACAATTTGACTGTATCCAGTGGTACTGCAGAAGAAAGAGCTGGCAATCTGCCTCCATAAAGATTGCAGCCCAGAAAATCCGATGGAGCTCAGTTCTATTTTGTAATACACAGGAGACAATATGAGTTTAATTTGACTGGGGGCCAGTGTTTTTGTTTTGTTTTAACATCTTTCTCAGAGCCATGTTTGCTCTGTCGTCTTTCCTTTTCTCTTTCTCTCTCCCCTGTTTGTAAATGTGAGACTGAAGTAAACTCCATTCCATTACCTGTGACATCATCTGCAGTTGTAAATTAGTAAAGTTGAGATGAAGGATGCGTCACTGTAGTTTTCAAAAATAAGTGGGCCATTCACTGGGGCGTGGCAGTCCTTTTTGTTCGGCAGAATGGAAAGTTTCCCAATCCTGAGCTTCACTGTAACAGGAACTGACCCAGGTCATGAATGAGACTTCTGTGATGGCTTCACTTAGGACTGGAATGTTCTCTAGTCTAGAGACAGAGTTCCCCCAAACAAGAGAGCACTCTCTTCCTGGGGTTACAGAGAACCTTGGACTGATGAAATGCCAGCCCCAGAAACAGTAATCATACCCTCAGGCATGAAAAATTACATCCTTCGTAGATTTCAGTTCCTTACATGCCACTCCCCAGGGCCTCTGGGCCAAGGAACTGGGAAGTGGGGGAAGTGTAGCGTTTTGAGATGGGCGTATTTCTTTCTGCAGAATTCCCTACAGACCCACAGATGTGTATGGGCCCTTTGCAGAGGCAGCCTGCTGGAATGACTTGGGCCAGGCATTGCTGGTTTCCCACAAACTACTTTCTGTGGCCAAGTCACTTTCTGGATCTGTTTACTCATTTGTGCCCCCCTCAGCATTCCCCCTACCCATACGGTGATCATAAAGATGAAAAGAGTTGGTATACCTTAGCTTCATTACTTGTTAATATCCCTGGTGGGTTAATGTGCTGGACTGCAAAGTCAGTTTGAACCGCAAGGTCAGTGGTTCAAACTCACCACCTTCTCCTCAGAAACTCTATAGAGGGTCGCTATGGGTCAGAGCTGACTCGATGACACTTAACAACAACAACAACACAGCGTGCCCAGTGCTTACAGGTGCTTTATGGGGCACGAGAGAAGGAAGTAAACGGTCATTCATGTTGGGTTTCCAGTGAGCATACACCTTGGAAGGTTGGCGAGAATGTGCAGTAGACTCACTTTGTCTCCTTCCAGGTCACAGTGTGTTTCTATGCCTTCCTACTTCTTCCCTTTCTGTGCCCCTCCATCTGTCCCAGGAGCTGGGGCGGTCCTCCCCACAGTGCAGTCTTGTCCCCTAGTCCCTCTGGGATCCGCAGAGCTGAGCTGATCCCTCACTTGGATGGCCTAATGGCCTAATGGGTTCTCCTTGCCAGAAATCCGGCTGGTATTTCAGCTCTTTAGTGGTGGGTGGAGCTGCTGCCCTTAGCCAAGTCTGTGGATTGAGTAGGGTCTGTGGAGCCCCTCCCAGCCCGAGGGGATGGGAGGTGGGGCTGAGAACTACCCTAGCTATTGGCACTGAAGCTGGTCCTGCTCAGGGGATTGCTCTAACTCCAGGAATCTCAAACTCTCTGATTTTAAGGTTACTCAGGGAGGCCTTGGAGTCCTGGTGTGGCGTTGCGGGCTAATGCATCACACTGCAAAGTCGTTTGAACTGCAAAGTCAGTGGTTCAAGCTCACCAGCTACTCCGTGGAAACCCTATATACAGGGTCACTATGGGTCAGAATCGACTCCACGACACTTAACAACAACAACAACACAGGGAGGCCTTACATCCTTTTGTTGTGAAATGTAGAATCTGGAAGCTGGATGGCTGGGTTTGAATCCCTTTGGTGGCACAGTGGTTAAGTGTTTGACGGCTAACTGAATGGGTGATGGTTTAAACCTACCCAGAGGCTCTGCAAGAACTAGACCTGGTGATCTGCTCCCATGAAGGTGCCAGTCTCGAAAACGCTTTGGGGCAGTTCTCGACAGCAGCCAACCTCAGTCATACGGAAACTTGGTCAAGTTACTGAGCCTCTGTAAGCTTCATTTCTTCCTTTGTAAATGGAGATAAATATGGAAGACCATAGAAGAATTGATGCATTTGAGTTATGGTGCTGGAGGAGAATACTGAAAGTGCCATGGGCTGTGAAAAGAACAAACAGATCCGTTTTGGAAGAAGTGCAGCCAGAGTGCTCCTTGGAGGCCAAGATGGCCAAACTTCATCTCTCATACTTAGGACATATTATCAGGAGGGACCAGTCACTGGAGAAGGATATCATGTTTGGTAAGGTGGAGAGACAGAGAAGAAGAGGAAGACCTCCAGCGAGATGGATTGGCCAACTGGCAGCATTGATGGGCTCAAGCGTGGCAACAGTAGTGAGGTTGGCCCAGGATCGGGCAGTGTTTCATTCTGTTGTGCATAGGGTCACTATGGGTCGGTACCAACTCGATGGCACCTAATAACAACAACGATAACAAAATGGGGATAATAATAGCACCCCTGGGTGAGGTTAAAAGGTGGTGTAAATAGTTAATGCGCTTGCTTGCTAACCAAAAGATTGAAGGTTCGAGTCCACACAGAGGCATCTCAATAGAAAGACCTGGTGACCTGCTTCTGACAAGCTCAGCATGGAAACCTACTGAGCACAGTTCTGATCCAACATGTGGGGTTGTCATGAGTCAGTGTTAACTCAGTGGCAACAGGGTTCTTGTTGTTGTTGGTAAATGCCGTCAAGTCGGTTCTGACTCATAGAAACCCTGTGTAAGGTTTCTGAGGAGTGGCTGGTGGATTTGAACCACTGACCTTAGGTTCAAACTGACCTTACAGTCCAGTGCTTATCCTACAGTGCCACACCAGGATGTGGTATAGGGTGAAGGTGAGGATTAAATGTGATGGAGCAGGTTAAGAGTCTAACACACTTAGTGAGAAACTGACAGGTCTACTCCCAGGTCTATTGAAGTCATGAATGAAATCTAAGAGCTTAGAAGCAGGAAGTTCTCCATTTGAATGGCTTGGGGCCAGACACCAGGCCCTTTACTAGGCTCCCAGGGCCGAGTGGTGGGTTATGACAGAGGCAGATTCAACTTAACAGAACCGGTTCCCACTCTTCCAGTCAGCATCCATGCTGCTGGCTCAGAACATCACCTGAAGGTCACTGGGAGAGGCAGGAGGGAGTTCTGCCTTCTGGGAGGTGAGAAGTAAGGGGTGTCACCTGATGGCACAAAAACAGCCTTGTTTGTGCTGATACCCTCCCTCTCTAGGTGGTTCAAGCCACCAGTGGCCCGCAAGTGAGGGAGTGATCCGAGGACATGTCACATGGGAAAACTAGCGAATACAAGCTTTTGGGAAACAACAAATGAAAGAAAAACATGTTTTCTTTGGCATGCTTATTGAGTGAGGCTCAAATAGGGACTGTATTGCCAAACTCTGTGTGTGATGAGGAATTGGCTTTTCTGAAACTTGCTTTTCTGCCTCCACTGCCATGGCCTGCCTGGATGGATTGTAAAATCACAAGTACAATAGCTCCCCTTCCCCTCCACACCTCAGCTCTCCAACTAGACAGTGATCACCCCAGGCTGTTCAGACTGCCGGGGCTGCAGGGAGCCTCTGGGGGACAACTGTGCCCACCCACCCAGCCACCCCACTCCACTCCAAAGCTTTCTTTGTAAGAAGGTGTTTTGACAGAATGACATTTAATATAATCAGCATATCTTGGTCTTACAGGAGGAACCCTGAGGGTGCAGTGAGTTAAGCACTTGACCGTTAACCAAAAGGTCAGTGGCTCGAACTCACCAGCCACTCCATAGGTGAAGATTGGTCTATCTGCTCCTATAAAGATCACAACCTTAGAAACCTCTGTGTTACAGGCTCACTGTGAGCCAGAATCGACTTGGTGGCTCTGGGTTTGGTTTTATGGTGGAGTCCTTGGGTGGTGTAAAAGGTCAACATGCTCAGGGCTAACCTAAGGTTGGCAGTTTGAGTTCTCCCAGAACAACCTCACAAGAAAGACTTGGCAATCTTCTGAAAAATCAGTCACTGAAAACACTTTGGAGCACACTTCCACTGTGATGTACATGGGATTGCTGTGTATTGGAATGAATTTGATGGTAACTGTATTTTTCTGGGTTTTCTGAATGATGTTGTTAAGTGCTGTGGAGTTGGTTCCAACTCATAGAGACCATGTATAGCGTTTCCAAGGAGCAGATGGTGGGTTTGAACCACCAACTTTGTGGTTAGCTGTCCAATGCTTATCCTACAGCATGACACCAGGACTCCTTTCTAATAATTAGAGATATCTATAGAGCATGGGCTTCCTCAACAGGTAGTGAGCACCCCATCATGAGAGGCATTCAAGAAGTGGCTAACAACTTCTTGGCAGGAAAGCTGTCATAATAGGAGAGAGAAGGAGATGGAGCAAATGACCTATAAGAGCTCCCCCAACCACACCAATATTTTGTGATAATCAACAGCAGGTGTAACTTCTCATCCCCAGATATGGACGAGTGCAGCTTCTCCGAGTTCCTCTGCCAACACGAGTGTGTGAACCAGCCTGGCACGTACTTCTGCTCCTGCCCTCCTGGCTACATCTTGCTGGACGACAACCGGAGCTGCCAGGGTAAAAGGCTGTGTAGAGGGAACCAGCTGGGGCAGCTGTGGGAGAGGGGGCTGACTTCTATAAAGTCACCTGGGGAATTCTGGGTGATTTTAATGGGTGTTGGTCATGTACTGAGAGGCAGGCCCTGGGTTGGTGTCTTCCTGCCCTGAGACATAGTCTTTAACCCCAGAAAGGGCCTACCTAGGTCAGTCTTCCTTGTGTAAGAAACTCTCTGGCTACACAAGGTACAGGCTACACAAGAGTGCCTCTGTGGCCCATCAGTAGTCTGTCAGTTTGTTATACTGGGGTGACTTGCATGGTGCTGTGATTCTGAAAGCTATTGTTGTCATTGTTGTTGTTGTTAGGCACCATTGAGTCAGTACTGACTCATAGCGACCCTATGCGCAACAGAACAAAACACTACCCAGTCCTGGGCCAACCTCACAATCATTTCTTTGCTTGAGCTCATTGCTGCTACCACTGCGCCAATCGATCTCTTTGGGGGTCTTGCTCTTTGTCTTCAACCCTCCATTTCACAAACTCAATATCCTTCTCCAGGGACTGATCCCTCCTGACAACATGTCTAAAGTATAAGAGATGAAGTCTGGCTTCCATCCTGGCTTCCAGGGAGCATTCTGGTTGTATTTCTTTTAACACAGATTGGTTTGTTCTTTTGGCAGTCCATAATACTTTTAATAGTCTCCTGCAACACCATACCTCAAATGCATCAATTCTTTTACAGCCTTCCTTATTCACTGTCCAACTTTCACATGCATATGAGATTATTGAAAATACTAGAGTCTGGAAGCTATACCACTGGTATTTTAAATACCAACAGGTTCGCCCATGGAGGACAGGTTTCAACAGCGTTTCCAGATTAAGACAGACTACGAAGGAATGTTTAGACACTGAAAACCTGATGAATAGCAGAGCATTGTCAGACATAGTGACGGAAGATGAAAATGTTATGAATAATACCAGAATATTGTCAGAGATGGTGTTGGAAGATGAGCCCCTCAGGTTGGCAGGCACTCAAAAATCAACTTCGTAAGAGCTTCCTGCTCAAAGTAGAGTTGACCGTGATGATGCAAATGGAGTAAAGCTTTCAGGACCTTCATTTGCTGATGGGGCACAGCTCAAAATGAGGAGAAACAGCTGAAAACATCCATTAATAATTGGAACATGGAATTTGTGAAGTATGAACCTAGGAAAATGGGAAGTTGTCACAATGGAATGGAATGCAGAAAGATCAATATCCTAGGCTTTAGTGAGCTGAAATGAACTGGTATTGGCAGTTTTGAATCTGGCAATCACATGGTTTAATATGGCAGGTACAACACATTCAAGAGGAATGCCTTAACACTCATCAATAAAAAGAACATTTCAAGATGTATATATGCTGTCTGTGATAGGATAATTTCCCTACACCTACAAGGAAAACCAGTTAATCCTAACCACTATTATTCAAATTTACATATCAACCACTAAAGCCAGTGATGATGAAATTGTAGAATTTTACCAATCTCTTCAGTCTGAAATTGATCAAACATGCAATCAAGATGTGTTGATAATTACTGGTGATTGGAATGCAAAGGTTGCAAGCAAAGACGAAAGATCAGTTGTTGGAAAATATGGCCTTGGTGATAGAAAAAATGCTGGAGATTGCATGAAAGAATGTGGCAAGTCCAATGACTTATTCATGGCAAATACCTTTTTAAAACAACATCAAAGGCAACTATACACATGAACCTCACCAGATGGAACACACAGAAATCAAACATCAAGAATAGCATACAGGAGAGAACAAACAAGATG